AAAATACAACAGTAAATGTTCCACTGGTTATGCCATTATATCTTATCCTTTTATCATCTCATAATAGCAACAAGAAAAGGGTAATAAAACTACTCACAATAAGACACGCATGAATAAATGAGAGTGATATACGAGGACCATACTTAGATCGTGTCAAAAACATAAGTCAGCCATAGTCCGATTCCAGATATTCGTTGAAGACAATCTCACACTTCTCAGATCCTCGATCAAATGATGAAATTCTCCCAATCGATTCTGCCAGACAATCTATTTCCATCCTCTCGAGGACTTTAGCATTCTTCAAGAGATATCTAACCATGTCGAGTTCATGCTCTGTGCCATCCAATTCATGAATTTGTACTATTTTAAGATGTGATGACAGGCAATTAGGCACTTGGAGGGGTGCCGCCAACCAGCGTTTTCGCTTATGCTTATTATAAACCTGAAAACGGAACAGAAAGGTAAACAAATGCCACAATCCAGCTGGCCTTATCAATTGGAAAAAAAAAAAAAAAGGAAATGCTTACATTGCGGATAATAAGGACTTTAAGTTTATCAGCCTTCTCTAGGAAATATGTGAGGAACCACCAATCGACTTGCAGTTCGAGTTTTATTAAATTGTGAAGCTTCATGATTGAATTAGCCATAGGCAACTGGACGGGTTTCCACTCACATTCCGGTTCCGGATAGTGTATGACCTGATGATTAAACAAAAAGAAAACAAATGCAGAACATGGACGGGCAATTAATCACATATAACCATACAAGTTGAAAATACGGACGAAACAATCATACTAACATTAAGGACTTCAAGCATGTCAGCCTTCTCCACGAAATATGAGATGAAACGCCAATCACCTTTCACCGTGAGTTTGGCTAAATTGTGAAACTTTATGTTCAAATCATCAGGGGTAAAGTCAGGAGCCTGGAGGAAAACAAAGATTACAAAAAGAAAGAAAAACAGAGAGAATAAAAAGCAAAAGGAGATGGAGAAAACAGGGTGTACCTTCCGACCCAAATCCCAAACACATAAGCTCAATTCTTTTACACTAGATAACCTACCCACAAATTCTACCATGGAACGAGAATAAAAATCATCGTTGAAATCGAAAACAACAATGTCTGCTTCAATTAAGGAGTCCATCGACCCAACCGAGAAATTATGGGGGATATCAAACCGTAGTAATAGATAATCAAGCGCAGGAGTATCTATCTTCAACTTGTAAGGGAACTCACAATTGAGGACCAACCTCTTCATAGTGGAGGAAGATATGCAATGGGATACCACATGTTCGCTACATCCGATATAGGTTAGCTCTTCAAGCACCGGACAACAGGAAATCAGGTTTTCGAGGGAGCCGTCAAGGATAGCTGTCTCAATATGAAGCCTCTTGAGGGCTGGTAAACACACGGTGACATTCTTCATCTTAATATTGAAAAAATTGATCTTCAAATCAATTAGGGTATCGGAGGTGAGCACACAAGGGGGCAAAGATTCAAAGTCACACAGCAACCTAAGATCGAGAGTTTTCAACTTGCACGCAAAGGCGCTCTCGAGATACGCCTCAAGTTTATGCTCGTAGAAGAAATTCCTGTGGAGGCGAAGTGTGATCACGCTGTGAGCTTCACATTGGGACAGAATCTTTCTCAGGAAGTCTTCGAACTTGCTATCATCGTATATTGTATCCATAGACCTCGATGGGCAATCGGTGATTTGTATGTTAAGGGCATAAGCCCATAAAAACCTCCATCTCGCGGAGAGGGTACTGGTGGAGACGGAGGTTTTCAAGGGGAGAAAAGAGAGGATGTGCGAGAGGATTTCGTCTGGCAAGGCGCTGAGCCTGTCGATTGAGGCCATGAGAGGAATTGGCGAGTTAGGGTTTTTTTTTGGGGGGAGCAATTATTGGCGGCTCAAGGTTGAAGGCGGATGGCGAAACTGCTAGTCATTCATGTCAAATTGGCTTTAATACACCAAAGCCCCGCCTCTGTAGG